CGTTCATCAGACTGCGGTAAAAGTTTGTCAACTTATTGCTTGCACTTGCGTGAGTGTGTCAATGAGGGTTGCGTATCTTATACTCAGAATCACTAAACGGTATTCGTTGAAGGTCATACAGGTTTACGCACTAACCTCGGCACATACCGATGAGGAGGTGAAGGAAATGTATGAGGATATTTCTAGAGCCATGCATTTCTCCAAAATTCACTATACGGTGTTAATGGGAGACTTTAACGCAAAACTGGGCAGAAGAGAGAACGCTGAGGTGAAAGTAGGGAAATTCAGAATAGAGCAATGGAACCCAAGGGGCCAGCAGCTGGCCAACTTCATGGAGAAAAAGGTACTTTTTATGAGGAACTCTTTCTTCCAGAAGTGTAAGGATGTGGAACTGGTCGAGCCCCGACGGTTCGACAAAAAATGAGATTGACTTCATTATGACGACCAGAAGACAACTGTTCAGTGATATCTCAGTAATAGTGAGTGTGAAAACCGGCAGTGGTCACCGAATGGTGAAAGGAACACTAAACCTAAACGTTAAGTTAGAGAGGTCTCTACTAATGAAGTCAACGCTTCGTCCCCCTCGTGCCGAATCTAAAGTACCTAGAACTTTCAGCTCGAGCTACAAAACCGTTTTCAGTGCTTAGAAGATTGCAATGCAATAGACGATATGAATGACAAGCTCGTGGAAACTGGCCATACGGTCAGAGCTAAATTTTGCTAGACCCGCAGCAGAAGAACACAAAAACTCTCCGATCACACTCTTAATCTCATGGCTGTTAGACGGTCTTCAGCAGATCTGACAACGTACAGGCAACTGAACAGACAGATTTCCAAATGCATGCGGCGGGACTTGCGCAACTTCAATACAGCTCGTATTTAAAGAAGCGATCGAGCGGAACCAGAGCTCTAGAGTCTTTGCTACGAGTAGAAATCTGTCTGCCAGAAAGAGCCAACTCTCAAATGTGAAGACCGAGTGGGGCAGCGTCGTTTCCGGGACACCTGAGATTTTGAGTGAGATTGAGAGGTTCTATGGGCAGCTTTACTCATCATAGTTGGAGCCACACGCAAGTTTGAGTAACAATCCAAGAGCAAGTCTTGTCCGACACTATTCCGGACGTCAGACTGAGTGAAATTAGAATGGCGCTCCAACACCTTAAAAACGGCAAGGCCCCAGACGAGGATGGAATTACAGAGTTTACAGATTTTATCACAGAATTACATTCTGAAATCGGGTGGATAACCGGTACTTGAAGTCCTTCAGAAGCTCTTTAATTCCGTCCTCCATGGTGACACTACACCGTAGGCGTGGAGCAAGTGCGGTGGTCTGTTCTTCAAAAAAGGTGTCAACGCTCTGTTGACAAACTACAGACTGATTTCCCTTCCGAGCCGCGTTTACGGGTTGTTTCCGAGAGTCATTACGAATCGTATCGCACGCGGACTCGACGACTTCCATACATACCCTTCGGCAAATTGTATAGAAGTCCGAAGTGTACAATTTGCCACTATGTGTGGCGTATGTGGACTATGAGAAAGCCTTTGGTTCCGTCGAAATTTGGACGGTGCTGCAGCCCTTTCAGCGGTGCCAAGTTGACTGTCGGTATATCGAAGAGCTGAAGTGTTTGTACAGTAGGGCTACGATGGCTATCAGAGTGCAGAACCAGAGTACGAAATCTATCCAACTGCGGAGGTGTAAGACAGGGTGGTGTAATTTGCCCGAAACTCTTCACCGCTGCATTGGAAGACGTTTTCAAGCTTCTGGACTGGAAAGGATATTCTCGGTATTAATATCAACGGCGAGTACATCACTCACCTTTGAGTTGCCGACGATATAGTCCTTATGGCTGAATCGCTGGATGACTTAAGCACTATGCTCAATAACCTCAATAGTGCCTTCCAACGGATAGGTCTTAATATGAACATGGACAAAACAAAGTTCATATATAACGTCCATGTCACACCTATGCCGGTAGTTGTTGGGAGCACGAAGCTCGAAGTTGTTGACGAGTATGTTTACCTGGGACAAATAGTCCGACTAGGTAAGTTCAACTTCGACCGAGAGGTCAATCGACGGATTTTACTCGTCCGGGCAGCCATATCTTGTCGTCACACATCTTCTCGTCAGGTATACCTCTAACGAGGTAACTCCTCAACCTCAATTTGACGACGAGACTGTACAACCAGTGCTTGTTGCCAGTCATTACTTATAGAACTGAGACGTGGTCCTTCACTGCTGGCCGTATGAGGAAACTCAAGGTTGCTCAGCGAGCTATGGAGAGAGCTGTGCTTAGGGTTTCTCTGCGTGATAAACTTAGAAATGAGGATATCCGCAGTAGAAACAGAGTGACTGAGATAGCCCTATGGATTAATAAGCTGAAGTGGCAGTGGGCCGGCCATATAGCTCGAAGAACCGACAACCGATGGGGAAAAAAGATTCTCGAGTGCCGGGCTCGTACCAGCGGACGAAGTTTAGCCCCCCCCCCCCCCGTCGATGGGATGAAGACCTGGTAAGGCATGCAGGACGTCGATGGATGCAGGTGGCTGGGGATCGTGCTTTGTGATATTCCTTGGGGGAGGCCTATGTTCAGCAGTGGACTTGTGAAGGGCTGTAATGATGATGATGATGAGGTAGCGCGCGTATCGTACCGACTAATTTATTTGAAAGTCATACATCATTCAATTTCAATGAATGTATTATCATTCGTAATTAAACAATATAACTCTTTCAAATTGAAAACGATATTTCCATAATTATTTCTTCTGCGGCAGCAACGCGCTGGATACCAGTTTAAAACTACTATCACAATTTGTATATGTAATATTTTTAATCATCTGTATTAATTTTTGCGACGTAATATGACATTTAAAAAAAAGAATTCAATATTACAAAGTTCGTTTTCTATCCCACGTAATGTGACGTGCCACGCTGCAGCGCTCATACGTTTTGCTGTCGTAATGGCAGCAAAACGTATGAGCTGGCTCAATGGCTTTTTTTCTTACGTGGTAGAACCATCATTCGTGATCAGCTATCTTATAGTTGATCACGAATGGGTCGACTCGACCGGGGAAGTACCACGCTCTCACAGAATACCAACGTAAAATAGCAGCTTAATGCTGCTGTGTTTCGTATGGCGAGTGTAGAGAACCGGACACCCTTTTTCTACTAACTTCAAAAAGGGGGAGATACTCAATTCGACCGTACGTTCTTTTTACTTCTTTTTTTATGTGTGTTACCTCTTAACTTTTTTCTGCGTGAACCAATTTCTACGATTCTTTTTTATTTGAAAGCCGAAGTGCTTCTCATGTGGTCCCATATAAATTTGATCAAGGTATGACCAATAGTTTTTGAGTTATTCTTAATAATTTATATTGAAGTCGGTTGTACAAATTTTAAATTTTAAAGTACACTTTATAAGAGGCATTCTATCTTAGTCCTCACAGTTGACAACGCATCTGCATTTTGATTCTTTATCGAGGATAGATGTACATGTCTATGGGCCACAGCTTCCACGTAGCATCAGGTGGGCTGTGTGCTCGCTTGTCACCGTAATTCTTTAAAAAAAATTGGGGAAGGACTACGCTCGCTCAAGCTTTTGCTTCTCCATCATCAGTCCCTAAAAGTCTACAGTTGGATATGGCTCTATCCCGTCACCGTTACGGATTATGAAAGAGGGAGAAGGCAAAATAAAATGAATAGATACGAGTAACAGAAGGCAATGTCGAAGGTATAAGACATGTACTGCGATCGTCGGCCTACCAAGTGTGATGATTAAAAGCAATTAAAATTAAATGCCCCGCAGAGGCACATCTCCAGCACTGGACTTTACGCACTGTAGAAGAACATGAAGAATTAATCTCAATCTATTGGTGTCCGTTAGTGTCGTAAAACACAAAAACAGCTGGACTCATTTTAATGAAATTTTTTGTGGGTTTGAGTGGGTCAGTGGATGGCTTAGATTCACAATTAGAGCCGGTAGGTGGCGCTGTTACCGAGATCCAGAAACCACCTCTGCGGAGCCGGGGCGGATTGCTAGTATTTTAATAATAATTAAAAAGTTGCTTGATCTGCTCCGAAGACTAATTTAGAGTCAACCCTTTTTTATTGAATACGGGTGACAAACGAGTACGCAGTTCCACCTAATGGTAAGTGCCGTGACCCATAGAAATCTACATATATCTTCGATTAAGAACCAACAATCAATTTGTTGTCAACCCTAAGGATTTAATTTACTAATAAAACAAAAAGTTCTAGTAAACTACAAGACGTGTGACCTCTACAACGTAACATTGCCCGCAACTGGTTTAGTGATGTGAACGGAATCGAGTCCGGGTCTAAGACCAGAACAGGCTGAACTTGGATATTAATTTGCTAATTAGGTGCATTAGTAATTAAGCAGTTGACTAATGTCCTAAGTATTATTAAAAGATCAACTTGTTTTCCCACGTCAGCGTGCACACAAACCAACTACAGAGCAAATTATAATTTTTGGATACTTTTGGTAAGATAGTTTAGTTCATTGCATTGCATTGCGTAAGTCATTTGTAGTCATGTTTACACATTAGACTAAAGAACAACAGAGAGTACGCAAAATAATTAAATTCCATAGCATTTTTCTACTCTTTTCTTTAATAGAATACGGGTGACAAACGAACACATAGTATACCTGATGGTAAGTTGATGCTGTAGCCCACATTTATCCTCGATTAAGTATCAAAATGCAGATGCTTCGTCATCCTTCAGGACAATAATGGAATGCCTCGTTTCCAGTGAAAAGGGTCTCCGGTTTTCACAACATTCATCATACGAAACACCGATTTTTGTTTGTTTCTGATTTCACGCTAGCATTCTGTGAGAAAGTGGTCTACTCCTACACCCGTCAAGCTGACCCAATCGTGCTGCATATAATGTAATATAGCTGCAGAGTGGCTCTATAACGTGAAAACATAGCCAGCTTTGAGCATTCTTTAACTTTAAGGTTTACTTTATGCGTAAGAGTTACCTTGAGCATACGAATCTCCCGTAGCGCTATCTTCCTGATGAGGGGATCGTCGTCGTTCTCAAGGAACTTCTTGACGGCGACCAGCGCACCGGTCTCTCGGTCACGACACTTGTACACGAGCCCGTAGGAGCCCTCGCCTAGCTTCGCCAGCTTCTCGTAGCGCTCCATCGCGCGACTACTCGCCCTCGATCTAACAGCAACAAATAGAACTTGTTATGTTTATCGTTACCGTTACAGCCTATTAAAGTTCCCATAGTTCTCATAGGGGTATATGTGCCATACTTGCCACGCTAGGCAAGCGGTTTGGCAACCGCAGTTTATTTATTTTTAGTTGTTATTAGAAAGACGTTGCTGCTCATCTCCTGATTTGTTTTTTAGAATAGAATATTTCTTTATTCACATGTGTAATTCTTATTGACAGTCATTTTTACTTTACCACTGGTTCGAAAAAAACCCTCTGTCCTGGGAAGAATCAGCAAGAAACCCAGCGGAATTTATTTAAAGTAAATTTTACATTAATGGTCGTACAAACTATATTTTAGAAACAGCTTGAAAGCGTCCACCTCATTCCCAGGGGTTATTATCAACCATGTATTCATTTATATTATAATAACCCTTTTTATACAGTTTCCCTCTGTCGCCTCTTACTACACCCACGGGATGATATATGGTAGCGGGTAGTCTTACCCGCCACTACACTCAATGTTTACATAATACATATGAGTATATAAACTCCTACACCTGTCACTCTGGGGAGTACTCTAATGAAAAAGATAATTTGGTTTCAATAGCAGCCTGAAGCCTGGGAGTTGACGGTATTACACCGCGCCTCAAAATGCACGTACAGCCTTTGGTTAAAATACGAGTAGTAATGCACGCCATAATAATGTGTTTTGCAGGGCCCCACATATGCTACGATTTGTCTTTACGATCCTTTGTTTCATTTAGTTCGGAACTACGAATCGATATTGTATGTCAATATCGTTAACGATTAACCTAATCGAAAACGATATCGGAGATCGCAACAAAAACTTATGCAATCTTGAATATCGTAACAATAAATCGATATTGTATGGATCTTTATATACTATCAATGGTTCGATGTATTAACTTTTTCTTTGATATATTGATTATTGATATAACCTAGATTTCGTTTAAATAGTAATTTCTTAACCCACACTTCTCTTGGTTATCTTTATTTCAGTAGCCGAATCAAATTTACCGTAGTTTTCCATTTTTAAAATATGGAATGTACTGAATTATTTAGTATATATTGTCTTATCGTTTTGTTTCGAACAAGTAAATGATTTATTGCAACGAGCAATCGTTTCGTGTGTGCGTTCTTGTACTATTATTTATTCTGTGGTGTGAGCGACATTTTCGAAGCGATCGATTGTGACGTGTCTTATCGTATATCACTATCGTACTTCGTGGACAACTCTAAGTTCGACGGCGCAGTGGCTTAGCAATGAGTTACAGCGGTAAGGTCCGCGAGTACGAACCCGTACGAATCAAGTATTTGTAAGGCCTAAAAATAATCCCGGTTCCGGGTCTGGATGTTTGCACTTATGAAATTTATGTATGTAAACTGCCCATACGATACAGGAGAAAATTCTAGTGTCGAAATTTAACGTTTAAAAAAATAGACAAGCAAAAACAGGCTGCGTACACTACCGCACGGAGCGTTGACAAAACATACCTGGTTGGAGAAACCTTTATTCCTATTGATGATTGAAAGTAAGAAAACTAGTAACTTCATTTAGAAATTAAAAAGGTCCTAGTGTACGTTAAAAAAAAATTCGTTAATACCAAAATATTTATTTTGCATTTTTATGAAGCTTACCATTGGACTTGAAAGTATGAAATATTTGTCAGTCCCAATGGAGACTAGCCACCTGCACAGGACCTGATTATAGTGTACAAATTAATGTGAGCGCATACACAGGTGTACGCTCTATTCCCTCACCCTCATAATCTGATAGGATGGTAATCCGACACGACCGGGAGAAATCAGGCGCAGCACCAAAGCCTTTACGTGCTTTCTGAGGCACGAAGGTGAAACACCGCCTATTCGCAAAAGAGCATACGGTTAGTGACTACCGCCACCCATGAACAACTGTAACACCGTGGACATTAATAGTTGTAGCGGACATTGCTCTTTTGCGTGTTGCTGGACATCGCATGTTCTTATCAATAACATAAAGTTTGGCGCAAGGGTAAGGGTTCAACAATAAACAAGTATGCTATTACAAAAATAAATTGACCTACAAGAAATATGTAGAGATCCTACCTAATGAGTAGAGCTTAAGGTAGCGAAATAGTTCAGGAAACATCATGTTGATTTTGAAAGACCTATAAAGTGATTGGTCACTCAATATGGCACGCATTTTTGTTAAATTTAAAGTTGGTGAACATTACTTTGCCTACATCCGCTCAATAAAATAAAATGATGTGTCTTACCTAGTTTGAAGAGCACCTCCCGCCCTCCCTCAATTGCGTGCACTATCCCTGTCGCCATTAATCCCAGCACCACTACTCCCAACACCACTGCACTAGGAAAGACACGCCACCGACGACAATACGGCACGTGTTTCGCCTCTACAGGCATCCTCAGGTATTATATCCGCAAAGTAATTTTTACGAACTTTAATCTAATGGATTTCCGCAAACTAATGCCTGATTCTATTAATTAACGTAATTTTGTATTTTACGGCTACTACTATTTTAGTTTTATAAAAACAAAACCTAGTTTTTAACCATCGCACATTAAATCGATAGATACCTTACAGTATACCTGCGTAAAACTGGAATATAATGATGTGCTTCCTTAGGTTAGTGTAGAGAACCGGACATTTTACTGGTAACGAAGCATTCCATGTTTGTCTTCAGGGGTGACAACGCATATGCATTTTTATTCTTAATCGAGGATAGAACTTAAAAAACCTTATTGATTAAAATCCATTCAGCCGTTGAGAGGCTTCAAGGGGATAAATAATCCCATATGCATACCCAGATAGGCGTGAAAGGCACAACCCTATCTTTGCTGTCACGCAGTCGGGTGAAATTAAAAACTAAAAATAGGCAAAGGTACCTCGCGGTCGCGACTTCTGGCGATATAAGTGACCTGTTGATGTCTTCCGACATGTCAGAGCAGAGCTCACTATAATTTTACTATCATTAGTTACAATTTTGCCAAGTTTAATTCAAACTACCAAGCATAATGTGCTTGTTTTAATAATTTCTAAAGCTAATAGCTTAACATTTAACTACATACATAATATGTTATATTAAATGACAAATGTTTGATGCATCATGTTTGATAGACTTTATTGGTTCTTCTGTTTTGACCAAAGAGTATTTATTCACTATGTTTTAGGTCTGACAATTATTTAATGAAGACCAATAAGCTTACGCTCATCAGAAGTCGCTAGTTGGGACTGCGGTGAACTTATTTGTTACGCAGTGGATCACAAAGTATCACCATCATTGAAAAGTTGCGTTTAAATTAAATGTACTCGTATTTACATAAAACAAATTCTCAGTACTGTAGTCTTATTTTCTTACACATTTTTTTTTATTCTTCTACTTTTAGGAATATCCGTATAGAATGGAATAGAATAGAATAATTTTTATTCAATATAGATTATTACATAATACTTATTGAAAGTATTTTATTATTTACCACTGGTTCGAAAAATACCTCTGTCCTGGGAAGAACCTGCAAGAAACCCAGCGAAACTTTAAAAAAAAAAACATATTTCACTTTACAATATTTTTTTTGTTTGTATAAATTTTAAATGAATTTTAATAGAACCAGCATGGTGGCGATCACCTCATTCTTAGGGTTTTTTTTCACTTATGTATTCTTTGATATTATTTACTTACTTTCTTATCTTCACGCACAATCCCTGACGGGGTAGCCAGAGAGAACAGATCGCCAAGTGTCACGATCCTTACAAACCTCTTTCGCTTCTTTCAGATTCATTATCTTCTTCATGCATGCACGTCTAGGTATCCGAGTACTCTTGCCCCTACCCTCTTCGAGCAATTTGCTCACATGGTCTTCGAAAGTTAGTCTCGGTCTACCTCGACACGGTTTAATATTAACTTTCGCGCTATATATTTTCTTCACCATTCGGTCTTCACTCATTCGCTCAACGTGCCCAAACCACCGAAGCACGCCCTTATCAATTTTTGTGATAAGGTCATCTTTCAAACCTGCCATATTGCGAATCTCTTCGTTTCGCTTTCGGTCGGCCATGGTAACGCCGCACATTTTACGAAGAGATCGCATCTCCACTGCATTCAACTTACTTTTATGCTTCTTCTGGCATACCCAGGTTTCGCTGCCATATAACAAAGTCGATACCAACACTGCGTTATGTATAGCAAGGCGTGCACTCTCCGCTACGCCCTGCCTTTTGACTAACGCAGTCAGAGCACCATTGACTTTGTTCCCGGCAGCGACATGCCTGTCCACATCTAAATCACATCTTCAATCCCGGCTAAAAGCACTCCCTAAGTATACAATTTCATTTACCTGTTCTAGACATTCCTGATTTACCCATATTTCACATTTCATTCTCTCTTCGTCCGTTTCAAATACCAGAACCTTAGTTTTATTAGCATTCAAACGGAGACCTTTAATTTCACATTCCTCTTTCATACACGTGACTAAAGCCTGCAGTTCTGCCTCTGATGGTGCAATAAGCACTGCATCATCAGCATACAGCAGACAATTTACTTTTATGTCACCCAATTTCACACCCAAACAGCTATCTTTCAGCTTCTGTAAACAGCTGTCGAGATACAGTATGAACAGCCAGGAAGACATGACACAACCCTGCTTTACGCCCGTTTGGACGTTAAACATGGGTGACAGGTCATGCCCTACCTGCACACAGGCTTTACAGTCACAGTAAAGAGACTGCACAGCCTTTAGCAATCGACCATCCACACCATAACCCGGCAACAGTTCCCACATTTTCTTCCTTACAACCTTATCAAATGCTTTCTCAAGATCCACAAAAGCACAGAAAATCTTCTGGTTAGCAGCCAGAAGCTTTTCCGTGATCATGCGGAGAGAAAACATTTGATCCGTGCATCCTCTTCCAGGTCGAAATCCGCATTGTGCCTCCCATAGAAATCTTTCCGATTTCTCTTGCATCCTACGTGTCAAAACCTTCGAGT